TGGGGACACCATAGAAGCACTTGTAAGAACCCTTTAAATGGTGATAGAGAAGTAAATGATCATTACTTTGAGATGTCGACAACTTTAGCTCCACGCAAAAAAAATGCCAATTAGGCTTGCTGATCGTCAAGACTCTTGTTGCTAAGATTCAAGTTGCAGCAAACAGTTTTTTTGTAGCCTTTAAGATTTGCAACTATTTACTATAATCAAGTTACAGTTTTTATTAAACATTTCCTAATATTCAATTGCTTTTGGTATCCAAACACGTCATTTTGCTGAAGTCACTTTGCCAAAATCCTGTTGTAATTCTTGGAAAATGTAATGTTGCCAATTCACTGAATGAATTACACCTTTTTTTTTGTCATTCGCTGCCTACTCCACACCTAGTTCTGCCTACACATCGATCTCATTTTGTTTGTAAGCCGTTGTGCTTGGGTGGTATACTACTTACTCTTATGCTATGGGCTCCAAAGTGCCGGCTTTGTAGCTGAATGAATTACAGTCACTAGAACATTATATTACATGTTAAAAGATTGCATTTTTTTATCATTGGATGATGCCATTACAAGCTTTCCATATGTTGATTACATGCTACAAACATATCATAAAAACTTGGGGGTAGGATTTCAAGCTTTGATACAAGATTTTAAACCTTCAAAATTAAGTATAACATAAGAATGAAGTGTCATCCATTACAACAAAATTTTAACATTAAAAAAAAACATAAGTTTTGTTACATAACTTCGGCGGTTTACAATCATCGGAAGCGTTTCTTAGTTGCATTCTAAGTTACATTCTAAGGTACATTCTCTTACAATTTCAATAATTTGCAAGTGAACGCCAACAAGCAAAACGAGGATAAACAACAAGAGCTTAATTTGAAGTAATTAATTAGTAACTGTCTGAAGAAGATTTGAATGAACTTCTGATGCGTCTGCACTCCTTAATGTATTCATAGCTTCCACTTCACCATTTTGTTCGTCCACCCATCTAAAATATCTACAATCGTCTTCTATTCTTCTGATCTATTTCGGGGGCATCGATAGAACTTCCTTACGTGATTATTACCTTTGTAGAAATTATACATTTCACATTACAGATTGCAACTTCAAGGAATGGAGTTTTTTTTATAAACCGTATGAAGCACAAGCAAGCAGTTGTTTAAGCTGCCAGTTCGCTGAAAGAATTACACATATGCTTTTTTTTTTCTTGAAAAAAAAATCTTTAGATAATATCATGTATATCCAAACATTGAAATTCATAGTTCCAACCAGAAAAAAAGGTATCAAAGGCAAGCATACATTTCCACATGAGTTTCAACCACAAGTATACATTCCCACATGAAATCCATAGTTTAAAATAAATTCATGTAAAAGAAGACAACAATCCTAGAAATTTTTTCATTGTTTTAGTTTTATATGTGTAAAAAGCGTTTATATGTAAAAGAAGACATCAACCATAGAAATTGAAATGGAGAAGAACAACAAACCTAGCCGATCTATCAAGTAAGAGAAACTGAGCGAGGAAGAGGCACTAAAAACCGTTGTTAAAGATAAAAAAACATAGATGAAATGGAGAAGAGCATATCTCGACGAGCAAATCCATGAACCAACCGAGCGATGGAGAGGAGCTAAAGGCGAAGCAGACATCTTAGAACCCTTTTTTCGCGAATTCGTTTTGACGGAGTCGACAGAAAGTTATGTTTGATAAGGGCCAACTATTTACGGTGGTAAAATAGTAAAAAATAAAGTTTATGTGTGCGATAAGTAAATAGAGATGTTTTAAGTGTTAGGTATGTAAAAATTCCTAATTTTATTTGTTAAGTGCACTATTTAAATTATAATTTTTTTATTAAAAAATCTTTTAAAAGCAAGAAGAAAGCCATCCCAAACGAAACCTAATTAAAAAGTGTAACAACGAAAGTAGAAGTTTTAAAGAGGAGCAACAAAATCTTTGAACAAGTTGAATTCAAGATCAAAACAAATAAAATTATCATATAATCTTCCACAAAAAGGCAAGCAACAAAATAATTGCCAATAGTTGTGGTGACTGGTGGTAGGAATAGCGTCGGCTGGCAGCGGGGATGGTGGTGGCCTCTCATTTTGTTTGTAAGCCGTTGTGCTTGGGTGGTATACTACTTACTCTTATGCTATGGGCTCCAAAGTGCCGGCTTTGTAGCTGAATGAATTACAGTCACAAGAACATTATATTACATGTTAAAAGATTGCATTTTTTTATCATTGGATGATGCCATTACAAGCTTTCCATATGTTGATTACATGCTACAAACATATCATAAAAACTTGGGGGTAGGATTTCAAGCTTTGATACAAGATTTTAAACCTTCAAAATTAAGTATAACATAAGAATGAAGTGTCATCCATTACAACAAAATTTTAACATTAAAAAAAAAACATAAGTTTTGTTACATAACTTCGGCGGTTTACAATCATCGGAAGCGTTTCTTAGTTGCATTCTAAGTTACATTCTAAGGTACATTCTCTTACAATTTCAATAATTTGCAAGTGAACGCCAACAAGCAAAATGAGGATAAACAACAAGAGCTTAATTTGAAGTAATTAATTAGTAACTGTCTGAAGAAGATTTGAATGAACTTCTGATGCGTCTGCACTCCTGAATGCATTCATAGCTTCCACTTCACCATTTTGTTCGTCCACCCATCTAAAATATCTACAATCATCTTCTGTAGGGCTGCAAGTGAACCAAGCATTCGACGAGCTACTCGTTGTTCGGTTCGATTAAAGCTCGTTTGTGATCGTTTAATTAACTAAACAAACAAACTTGAACATTATTTTAAATACTCAATTCTTATATAAACAAACTTGAACCCAAATGTGTTCGGCTCATTTATGTTCACGAACAACATCGTTTAAAGCTCATGAACAAGCTCGACATTAAGCTCGATAAGAAGCTCGAAAAAACCCCGATTCGTGTTCGATTTTGAACTCGTGAATAAGATCGATAAAAATAATTAATATTTGATTATAAAATATGCAACATGTAAGCTTCATTTAAAAATATATTCATATTGATTAATGTTATTTTCATTTTACATAGACAATTGCTTTTATTATAAACGTGTTTGTTCATAGATATGTTCATGAACGTGTTTGTTTGATAGTTAAAAAAAAGTTAAATATGTTCGTGAATGTGCTTGATGTAATCATTTGTTAGGATGTTCAATAACGCTCGTTTGTTAAGTTAATGAACATCTAAAAGTAGAGCTCATTTATAGCTCGTTCATGCTTGTTTGTTTAAAGCTCGATAAGCACTAAATTAACCGAACATGAACTGAACATGAACCGAACATGAACACACATTAATTTAAATAAACCAAATATGAACACAAACAGTAAAGCTCGAACAAACATGAACCAAACTTGAACAAGCTGATATTAAATGAACACAAACATGAACACTCACATACTCGGCTCGACTCGGTTCGTTTGCAGCCCTAATCATCCGATCTATTTCGGGGGCATCGATAGAACTTACGTGATTATTAGCTTTGTAGAAAGTATACATTTCACATTACACATTGCAACTTCAAGGAATGGAGTTTTTTTCTTATAAACTGTATGAAGCACAAGCAAGCAGTTGTTTAAGCTGCCTGTTCGCTGAATGAATTACACATATGTTTTTTTTTTCTTGAAAAAAAAAAAATCTTTAGATAATATCCTGTATATCCAAACATCGAAATGCATAGTTCCAACTAGAAAAAAAAGGTATCAAAGGCAAGCATACATTTCCACATGAGTTTCAACCACAAGTATATGTTCCCACAGGAAATACATAGTTTAAAATAAATTCATGTAAAAGAAGACAACAACCCTTGAAATTTTCTCATTGTTTTAGTTTTATATGTGTAAAAGGCGTTTATATGTAAAAGAAGACATCAACCTTAGAAATTGAAATGGAGAAGAACAACAAACCTAGTCGATCTATCAAGTAAGAGAAACCGAGCAAGGAAGAGGCACTGAAAACCGTTGTCAAAGATAAAAAAGCATAGATGAAATGGACAAGAGCATACCTCGACGAGCAAATCCACGAACCAACCGAGCAAGGGAGAGGAGCTAAAGGCGAAGCAGACGTCTTAGAACACAATTTTTGCGAATTCGTTTTGATGGAGTCGACATAGTGTTATGTTTGATGAGGGCCAACTATTTACGGTGGTAAAATAGTAAAAAATAAAGTTTATGTGTGAGATAAGTAAATAGAGATGTTTTAAGTGTTAGGTATGTAAAAATCCCTAATTTTATTTGTTAAGTGCACTATTTAAATTTTAATTTTTTTTATTAAAAAATCTTTTTAAAAGCAAGAAGAAAGCCATCCCAAACGAAACCTAAAAAGAGTAACAACGAAACTAGAAGTTTTAAAGAGGAGCAGCAAAATCTTTGAACAAGTTGAATTCAAGATCAAAACAAATAAAATTATCATATAATCTTCCACAAAAAGGCAAGCAACAAAATAATTGCCAATAGTTGTGGTGACTGGTGGTAGGAATAGCGTCGGCTGGCAGCGGGGATGGTGGTGGCCAGTGGTGGGGGGAAACTGACACAGGCAGACGTTGGGGGGAGACTGACGACAATAGATAACAACCACAAATTTATTATAAATTTATTTTTAATCCAAACAAACATAAAAAAAATAAAAAAACAATTCATTTACTATAATTTGGATTCACTTTACTTATAATTAAACGAAAAATTATTGTATGAGCATCCGGAAGGAAATAACAAGTCAAATACATGAATATACACAGTGTACACATTTATACATAATATATATTAAATTTATATACACATAATCCGGACTTACCGTCTGGCTAAGGCACAAAATAATTGCCCCAACAACAATAAATGAAAAATTATTATGTGCAGAGTCTGGATGGAAAACCGTCCAATTTATTAAGTATACTCAATAAATATTATACAAATACTCAGAAATACTCATAATTTTTTTTTTTGCTCTCCTTCCTTCCTTAAAAATCAAACAGCCCCTGTAAAAATAAAACACGCTCGACCTTCCTCTAGCTCTCCACTCTAATGGCGCTCCTCTCGCTGCGTCTCTCTTCACTTGCCTCTTCTATCTCACCTCAGGAACCATTCCTCGTCTCTTTCTCCAGCCCAAGACAAGTCCATCACCGGCGTAATCGGAAACTCTATCTTAGCCAAGCTTCCCCTGTCTTCAGAGCCTCATGGGAAGAGGTAAATTCTCATATTTCCTTCCTCTCGTTCCTTCTGCTCCTTTTTATCGTTTTATTACGGTAGTTCTCGCTCGTGAGTCGATCCTCTTGTGAAATTTCTTGGTTTAAGCTCGCGGGGGTTTTGATATTCTCGGCAATTCCTTTCACGGCCGTGAAAGCCGTCGCGAATAGTTCGGTTGGGGAGGTGCTTCGTCGGAGGCTTGACGATATGAAGAAGGACGCTGTGGAGAGGTCTTCCAGGTTCAAGGCACTGACTCGAAAAGCTAAAGAAGCAAGGTGAGTCGTTATTTGAAAGTTGCACACTTTGCTGGTTTTGGGAACTGATTGTTGCGAAAGCTGTAGTTAATGGATTTTTGGTGCAATTTCACATGATCAATTAATCTTACTTTTGGCGTGAAGTTCAACTGGGCATTTAAATTAATGACTATCTTATACTGAAATAAATGAAACGAAAAATAAGCAATTAAAGTTGGCAAGCCTGGGGAGGCGAGGGCAGTGCTCTGCGTAGAATAGAGAGCTCTCTTCTTTCACCTATTGAAATCTATACTCATCAAAGCCTCAACAAAGAAAAAATACGCAGAGCCAATATTGTTAAAAGAAACATGGAGTGGTGTGTTTATTTTGTGGCTGGTAGTTCTAGGCTGTAAATTTGGCTTCGTTTCCAGATACTTTCATTCGTGTCTATATAGTCTTCCTTGTTAATCTTAGAGACATATTAGGTAGAAGAGCTGTAGGCTATCTCGGGCTCACTAGTGGGTTCTCAAGTGGACATAACCAGAATCCTTTAGGTTAAGGCCTCAAAAGCATTGGGGGATAGTTACCGAGGGTCCGAGGGCATAATGACCATAATTTGAGACTTGGGAGACCAGAGAAATATTCGGAATGTGTAATTGTGGACTCTGTTGTCTCAATGCTCCAGAAATCGGGGAGATTGAAGATTATTGGTAACATGCACAATTGACTATCAAATGAAATAAAGTAGAGGTCAAGTAAAATTTTGAATAGATTGTGCCCAAGCAGCTTTTATCAACATTCACATCACCTATTAAATATTGCGAGCGCCATGCATATACCTTTGCTTGTGCTTCAACCAATGCATGAGAATGCCTTCTAGCCTTCTGCCAATCCAATTATAACAAAGGTGGAGTAGGAGATGTTATTATCAATTGATAAGCATCCAAAACTCTCATGTAATTGAAGAGCCTTGTCTTGTAGTGAAACTCTGACCCCTATAAATACCCTATGCCACACTTATGAAGGATTCTTTTGGCCATTCCAAAAACCTAGCAGCAAAGAGTTAACTATGTGTAGGAAATTTATACGCAAGAGCCATGAGCTTCGTGTGTATGTTGGTTCCTAACTCTATTTAAGATGTATTCGAGATGATTTTTAGGAGGTAGATTAAATGATACATGAAGCATTAAAGAGAAATGTTGCCTTCATGGACTTTTTATTTATGGTTTGTGCCTTCATATGGGTGCAAGCCTTTGTGGTTTATTGTACTCTAGGAAAAAACTTTTGATCAAGGCTAAGCATTAGGATCTATGATGATTCATTGCGATGACTTCTCATATATTTAAACTTGCTATAATGTTATGAAGAATATGGCTTGTGGGCTCAAAGATGATGGTGAGGGAGAATGATGATAAACTCAATGAAGATCTTATGATTATATTATCCTAAGCCTGTTGATATTCCTTCATACACATACCTTAGGCATGCTGATATGCCAATCTTTAACTTGGGGATCATAGCCAACAATCATGTGTTATATGACTCACTGTCTCGTAGACAAGGCCATTGGGAAACATATAAGCTTTCTCCTGCTTGTTTTTTTATCATGGTTCGCTAGCATGTTTTAGGCATGTTCATTTGGCCCAAAGGAACTTTCCATGTCCTTGCTAGTGTAGGATTTTGAGTGTGATCATATGCTCTCATTTATATGGCATGGGCTTCTTTATGAGCTTTAGTCAATCTTTGAATTTTTTGCCCTCGACAAACTTGAGGAGAGTGATGGATAGAGGATTTAGACATGGAGTGATCTTAAGTTTTTTGGTGGCTTTTTAATTATAATTTTTGTATATTTATATATTTAAGGGAGTTTTGAATTTTGTGGATACTTGACATTGGATGCATTGAATCTTTCTAGATTAGATTTATCTTTATATGCATTTTTTATCAAGGGATGAACAATTGTTGATTGAGGCCTTGGGTAGAGCACCTGAGGCTACTCTTGAACTTTTGAGGTGTGTTAACAATGGTAGTGATCCATAATGATATGCTTCTTATTACTTGGTGTGATTGTAACCATCCAGCAAGATGAGGTCATAGAATTTGTATTTTTTATCTGGGGTATACTTTTCCTTTGTAAGGGGCCTTGAATTTATATTTAGAAGGGAGGTTAGTTAGGATGGCGATATTATTTTCTTCATACCATGGGATTTATAAAGATAATGACGATGATCCTTCTAATAAGGATTTGCATGGGTTTCACCCATTGTTGGGATGTGAGATCTTTGAGCATTTGAATGTGACTTGGGACATTTCTTTTTGATGAGGATCCTCATTATGTTTATTTTTTGTTGGTTGTGTCCATCTTAAAGGAGATTAGTGTTTTTAATACTTTATTGATTTGAATGAGAGCAAGCAGTTGCGCTTATGATATTGGTTATTCTTTTAAAGAGAGGGTCTTGAAAAAGCAGGCCCATCGCATTTCCTCTTTGGGCAATGCTACAACCAAGGCCCACCTTGGTTCCCATTTTGGCCTGTATGCAGTCTTTTCTCTTGTGATGGAAGAGGCTATTGACTTTTCAATGATATTTAATCCCCTCACTCCATTTGTGAATTTTGGTTGGGAGTGTAAGCTTCGTAGTAAGAATGGTGAAGAATCCTATCCAAAAGCTCTCAATCTCATTGTCCCACCAGCTTTAGGAATTATGGCAGCTCACCCTAGGTGTGTTGACCTCATTATTATAGCGATGCCCCCAGTAATTTCATTTTTATGATTACAACTATGTAAGATGTTTCTTTCCTATAACACACTCTTTCCTCTCATGCATTCGATATGTTTAGGGTTTTGGATATTCGATATGATTAATAAAAGAAATATGAAATTCTATAAGATAATTTAAGATAAATATTGTTAAAAATAAATATTTCATGAACAAAAAATTAATATAAAGGTGAGATAAATCTAAATTTTTAGTTTGTATATTTAGGCCACATATTTTAAAGAATCAAAATTAGTGAATTGAAAATGATCTAATTCACATCTTAATAATAGGAATACTTGTTAGTAAATAAGAAAGTGGATTGGTTTATGAAATCAATAGAGCTAGCCAAAATGAATGTCTTATATGTAATCGTATGCATGATTATAAGCATCGTGATAAGAAAGAGAACATCTAAGGATTGATATATATATAAACAAATTTTATTCCAAATAAGAAAAGGGGATCACAACAAGGACAAAAAAATAGCCGAAACCAAAATACATCAGAAAAAAAGAACTTGTAAGAAACAAACACAACAAAACATACAATTAAAGAAACATGAGCAAAAGAGCCAACAACCGACTCAGGGAATGGCAGCTTCCTGCAACCACCCCGCAGCCAGGCACGGACCATCCATTGGTGATAAACACTCAAAAAACAACATCAGCCTACAACCCACACAAGCAACCACCAAGTAAAAGGGCTTTGTTGTGGGCTTTGTTGGTGATTTGGATGATGATGAGGCAGCTCCCTACTTATCATTTTGTTAGCCCGGGCTTGTTGGCAACCTTGGTGGTAAATTCAAAGACTATTTCTTCTTAGATTTACTTTTACGTCTCTTGCCAACACCATTGAGAACTGCTTGTTCAACTACAAATCCTACCATGAAACTATACATATCATCATTAACATGGTCACCAAAATCATCACCCTCCCCTCCACAAGGCGTGGAAAGGGGCTCATCCATATCTAGCCAATTAGATTGCTCCAAAATAGAGTTATTCAAAGACCGGGCCAGATGGACTTTCAAATTTGCGTTAGACATAACAGAAATAAGAATCTCAACATACTCCTCAATTCCTTTCGAGACATTCACAATAGGAGACAAATCCGAGTCAATATCACCAAGAGGCACGACAACTCCAGCATTTCCCAACTCAGCCAAAGCTTCACTACCCCCATCAACTAAAGAAACCAAATTATCACCCGATTTCATAGCATCAGCACAAGTAGGGCTTGTATAACAATTATTAACATTCAAGGAACCATCAACACCCTCTATATTAGCTATGGTTTTATTGCATTCAATAAGTAAATGTGCCACAACCTTCCCACCAAAAACAGAAGCCAATGCGGCATCAGCAATCCCGACTACAGAGGGTTTCAAATCCTTAGAAACAAAAGATCCAACATTAACCAAAATTTCATTGCAGTCAATTACATCAATAGACTCACACTCCATAACCAAATCATTAACAACATTAGTTAAAACAATGACACTAGCATCCGACACACAAGTCCAACAGGAGCCAAAATGACAGGTAAATCATTAACTACAAGCTGAACAACATTATCATCCACAGATAAAACATTACCCTTAAAAGTTTGCTCAGCAACATGATTAAAATCACCTACATTATCCAAAACTTTAGACAACTGGGGATGAAGTATATGGCATTCAGGTTTCAAATGCCCCAAAAACTTACAATGAGAACAATAATAGGGAAAATGCTCCATAACAACCATTTGAATATAACCCAAGCTCTTGGATCCAACCCAAACTTTATCAGGAAAACTTTTGGTAACATCCAATTCCACAAAGACACGCACAACTGATGGCCTAGACCCAGTGGAAGTAGCATGATCAATTTTCAGGAGGCGACCAAACATGGAACCAAGCCCATGAAGAATCCTAGGAGAGAAAAGATGATGTCTCGGATTTGGGAAAGAAACTCATATAGGAATAATGGGTGATTCAGTTTCAACATCAAAAGTAGGAGACCACTTGACAACCTTCATGAAACAATTGTTCACAAAGTTGGATTGATATGGTGAACTAAATTGTCTGAGGCTAGGGTTGGTGATCTCATTTTCTAAAATGAAGTAATATTCAAAGTCATAGAAATAATTGCTATGGACAATGTAGTTCTCAAAGCCTCAAAAAGGAGGAATTGCAAAACGTAAATAATTTTGCATGAGGTAAAAAAAAAATGGACTGGGGTATTTGAAGAGTCAGCTAGTGCCATTTTTTCACCAACTACTCAATGAAATTCTCTTTTTTTTTTCCCTAGAAATTTTGAGTTCTTGCCTTCTCTTTGGTAAGCGGAGGATAATGCGACTGATGTTTCCTGTCATTGATCATATACTACGTCCAAGTAAATGATTTTTTTTCTTCTTATCTTTCTTTGCAGCTCCTATTTGTAATCTTGAATTGGCCTAGAGTAGGTCTTCTGCATGAAGATTATATTTCAGATGTGAATCATGTTACCTCATCTTATCAATTGCTTGTTCAAATTGTTTTATCTATGATTTTTCATGATAGCAATTTTTTTTTTCTATGGCAGTCCATGGTATGGAAGAGGTCGCCCTAAATGGCTTGGTCCCATCCGTTTTGAGTACCCTCAATATCTTACTGGCGAGTACCCTGGTGATTACGGATTCGATGTGGCAGGTTTGGGCAAGGACCCTGTGGTTTTCCAAAAGTATTTTAAGTATGTACATCTCAGTTCTTTCTATCTTGTCATTAGCTTGTATGTTAATATTACATGCAAGAGATTAACGTGCTTGATTTATTTGTCATAAATTCAGTATCTTCTGATAGTTTCTTGCGTATTTATACTTGGCTTAGTTATGCAAGAATCATGAATTATGATTTTGTTGTTTTAACCTGTAATCTCCACCTAATTATTCCAATTGGTAAGATATATTGTGAATAAATATTGACGTGCAATTCTATGTCAATGGTATGTTCAAATAACTTGCATGTTTCTCATTTATTTCGAATTCCTGGATATTAGTTTTATGTTTTAGATGTAGCCTTGTGTGGGGCGTTTTTCAGCTCTTGGAAATAGGTGCAACTCTTCTGAATTATAATTTGTTTATGACATTTTCAGTTCTTTCTATGGCTGTATTGCAGTTTTGAAATACTTCATGCACGTTGGGCCATGCTCGCATCTCTTGGAGTTGTTGTTCCTGAACTATTAGACCTTCTTGGCATTGTGCATTTTGTTGAGCCAGTGTGGTGGAGAGTGGGGTATGCTAAACTTCAGGTGAGTTTGTCATGCATGTTGCATTATGGGGAATTCATAATGATTTCTTACCAATGAAAGTCAGCCAAGTAAAATATTTACTAAAAAATACTTTATTCTTTTCTTAAAAAATATATATGCGCTAATGTTTTCTTGTTTAGCCCTCCATGATATTTCTTTTTTCTTGTCTCCCGTGTAATCAAATTAGGGGTGCAAACGGATCGAGTCGAGCTCAATCCATGAGGTGTTCGAGTCGAGCTCGACTATCAAATGCTAAACTCGAGCTCAAGCTCGAACTCGAGTCGAGCTTGACTATCAAATGGTTGTGTTGAATTTTGATTTCCCGCTCGCGTTTTGGATTTTCCGCCCGCAAGCTTCGTCGTCGAGTGCTCGTCCGTCGTAGTCGCGCCCATCGTCGTCATCCGGAGTGCGTCCGCCATCATCGTCCTGAGCGCGTACGCCGTCGTCGTCCTGAATTTTGTTCTCCCGCTCGCGTTTTGGATTTCCCGCTCATGTTTTGGATTTGCCGCCCACAAGCTTGACGAGCTGCCGAGTCGAGCAGCGGCCTGTTCGAGGTCGAGCTTAATAAGCCGTCGAGCTCAAAATCGTGTTCGAGCTCAACTCGTCGAGCCTATTACCGAGTCGAGTCCGAACCGGCTAGCGAGTAGGCTTGACTCGTTTGCACCTTTAAATCAAATTGATTCTTTCAAGTTGCTTTAGATATACCTTAATAACTTCGATGTACAGGTTTTTTATTATTGACCATTCCCGTATTTCTCAAAAATTGTCCCATAAAGCTTTTGTACCTCATGTTCTAACTGATTTAAGACCCTCATATTCTTTTATTTGCTCGTCAATTGATTGTCAGTACATGCTTGTAGTCCATCTTGGATCCCAACCAATGTTATACTTTTTTGCATAACAATATTATTTTTAATTCACGCTTCTTCATTCTCTTCCAGAACTTTACAAGGTTAGATTTCATGACATTATTACAAAGCATTGCTTTTTCTTGTTTTATGCGCATTCGTTTTAGTCATGAATTGTTAATGTAAAATCCTATGAGTTGATCCTTTTCTTCAACTTTCAACTTCAATTTATTTCTTTGTTTCTCCTTTTTCAAGCATCGCTGTGCAGATCTTATTTTTCCGCTATTAATCATTACAAATCTCTTTTAAGATAAACATCCTTTCCTTATATCTTTCCACATTTTTGAGTTCGTCTACCAGCACAATTTGGTTGCATGTAATTCTAATATATTATTTGTAAACAGTCTCAGAATATGTGCAGAAGTTATTTCGGATTTTCGTGCAGTGTTTTTATTAATTGCACTTTTTTTTTTTAGGGTGACACTCTTGATTATCTCGGCATTCCTGGATTTCATATTGCTGGTAGTCAAGGAGTAATCGTCATAGCTATCTGCCAGGCTCTTTTAATGGTAAGATCATTATTTCTTTTTTTCATATTAAAGTAGCTCTGATGTACATCAGTTATGGGTGTATATCTTAAATTATCCCAGAGGGAAATTCGAGTGGTTTTAGGTGCTAAGTTTAGTGTAAACTTAAATGTTTCTAGTGTTTTTTGGGAATACATGAAGCAATAATATTGTGGATCAAACTTTCATTATTTTTCTTATTTCTTATGGATATTTGGTTAATAGCATTCCGTAGTAGTTCATCTAGTTCAATGCATAATTTTGAAAGGATGACAATTAAAGAATTGGAATGCCCAGAACTGGAAATTGCGTCGTAACTGCAGCAAGAATGATCACACTCTGTTTAAGGTGGGATGTAGATAGAGCATTCTTTACTAATAATTTAGGTTTTAGTTCAACATTAGAGTTAGTTTCTAGTAGTTGGTTAGGAGATTACCCACAAGTGAAGTATTGTTAGGACTTCACCTGTAAGGACACACTACAACTCTACAAGTTGACATTATTGTGGTGAAAAATATACTAGTTGATAAGTATGTCACCCTCAAATGATATAACACAAATTCACCCAATTGTGGTGAAAGTAAGGGTTAACTATGTATAAATTTATGATTAAATTAGTTATTTGAAATTTAGGGAGTTAACTAGAAAATTGGAGAATAGATGGGGCAATAATTAGAAGAATAAATATTGCCTATCTATAGGGCACTAAATGAAAAAGGATAAAATTGATGGATATATGAAGATTATAGTTTATAGGATGTTGGGAAAAATAAAAAATATTTATAGGGTTGGAAAGGAGTGGGTTGTGAGTGGAATGACAATAGTGTTGAGTTGTTTAGGGTTAGTGATGGAGTAATTTCTATTAAGTTAATTGTTGACGAGTATATTGTACATATGGTTAGTATTTTCGCTCTTTGAGTTGAATTCGATGATAGCTTGTGAAGTCATTTTTAAGAAGAGATGCATGAGCGATTACCACGTATGTTTAAGGAAGAAAAGATATTTAGTGAAGATGACTTCAATGGACATATATATTTTAGCAGGATCACTATGAGAAGATTTATTGTGGATATGCTGTGAGATTGTTGTTCTTGATTTTATAGTAACAAATCATCTTGCAATAGCATATATATGTTTTACAACTAGAAAATCTCTTAATTAATTTAAAGTTGATCCTCTAAATCTCAAATTAACTTTATTTTCTTACTTTGAAGGAAATGTCATTTATTTATTTGGCAAATATTGTAAGGTAAAATTATACACAAGGAAGTTTGACCAAATTGCATGGAGTAGTTGTAAAAGATGTATGTAGTAGGAGTATGAACTATGAAGTATAATCAAAAGAAATAATTGATTGAGGATAAGTAAAATTAAAATGAGTTATTGTTAATCAAAGGAGAGAGAGAGAGGGGCGGCAATGGGGAGAAGATTTGGGCTGAATTTGTGGTGCTATTAATGTGATTTGGAGAGAGAGAGAGAAGCCCAATAAGGGGGCCGGCCAAAATAGAGAAGAGGGAGGTGGGGAGTTTAGTAAGGTGGGGACCACTAGTTTTAATTTCAGAATTTTATAAAATCTGAAATAAAACTTCAGTTTTTAAAGGGGAAGAGATTCCTAAATTAAAGACAAATAGACAATCAATTGAATTGATTTTGAATTTCAAATTCGAAATTAAAAGCCAATTAAATTGATTGCATGAATTAGGGAAACAATTTAGAAAATATTAATGGGTCATAAAAAACTTTAGAATTTCAAATTTGAAATTGAAAGGAGGGGGAAGGAGGCGGCGGCAAGGGGGGAGGGAGCCGGCGGGCTGGTGGGCCGGCCGGTGGCTGCTGGCCGGCGGGTTGGGGCTGTAGGCCGGTGGCCTGGGCAGTCCAGGAGGGACGGCGGCAGTGAGCAAGGGAGGGGGAGGTTGTGGGGAAAATTCTAGGGATCCAAAGAATGAAATTCCAATCTCCCACAAGTGACTTCAATCCAACTCTCCGCAACGACGACTTGATCAAGAGAAATAAAAAGAAAAACGAAGGACAAGAAAACCTAGAACTCACAAAGAGATCTAATTTCTCCTACGAACTCACTAAGAGATCGAGGAGGTTTGCACTCACAAAGAGAACATGAAATGTAACTTTTCATTCATCCAAAACTGAAATTACAATGCATGGGGCCTCATATAAATATGCCAAAATGAAATAGCAAGAAATGACACAAATGCCCGTCCGGGCTACATAAGCGACTCGATGCCCATAGGGGCAAATTAGGAAACAGGAAATACAATCATAAAATAAAATGCAAATATATCAGAAGTAAAGGCTCTGGATCGTGGCCGTCGATCTGCGTCTCTGTCGATGGTACACGTGTCAAAATCTGATGTCCTCATCAATCACTATGAGAAGATTTATTGTGGATATGTTGTGAGATTGTTGTTCTTGATTTTATAGTAACAAATCATCTCGCAATAGCATATATTTGTTTTACAACTAAGAAAATCTCTTAATTATTTTAAAGTTGATCCTCTAAATCTCAAATAAACTTTATTTTCTTACTTTGAAGGAAATGTTATTTATTTATTTATTGTTTTCTCAAAGATTGTAAGGCAAAATTATACACATGGAAGTTTGACCAAATTGCATGGAGTAGTCGTCAAAGATGTATGTAGGAGTATGAAGTATAATCAAAAGAAATAATTGATTGAGGATAAGGAAGTATAATTAAAATGAGATATTGTTATTCTTTATATGTAGGTTACTAAAAAGAGGCAAATTTGACTTCTTTTGTTGAGTCAAACTTGATATATGACAATATTATCAATCTTATTAAGAAGATTATCATAAAAAAATTGAGTGAGTATTTTAAATCATACATTAACAAGAGTAAATGTTAGTGTAGTGTAGTGAAGGGCTGGAGAAGGTAATTAAGAAAAAAAAAAGCCTTGAAAGAGTGACAAAAGATATTTATTATTAATGGTATGATAACTAGAAGATAATTTGAACTCTGACAAATAAGATAGTGAGTAAAACAAAAGTTATAATTTTT